AGTGGGGAACCTGCAGCCTAACGATTTCAGGATTGCTCTTTTCTCAGCACCAAAGGAGGCAAGAAAAGCTTCATCTTTCTCCGCTGCACCCCTTTTAACCCTTTGCACTCGCTTGCTTTTTTCTCATTATCCACTCGACATTATCCACACTCGACATCCGAGTGCAAAGGGTTAATGAAAGCATTTGTTCTGTAAAATGTGGATTCAATCAAAAGTCTGCACTTAAGGACCTAGAAGGCCGCAGTTCCCTGCCCCTGCAGGGATTTCGAGCTGAGCGGCAGACCCCCATTTCACAGACTGTCCTGCGCTCCCACACCTGGGGGACGCCTAGCCAGTGGTGCATACTCAAGACGCCCAGATGAGAGACAACCTGGCCATGGTATGCAGAGGTCACTGCCAGGCACCAGAAGTTCGAACACGTGGTCCTGGCTGTCACAGGAACCCCCATCCCCCAATCATGGGACAGAGGGTTCTGCTGCATGCAACAGTCTGGTCCAGAAGTACAATTCTAAAGGCATAAAACCGTATCCTCCTAACAACAGGGATCCTCCTGTCATCCTGTCAAAGCTTAGCCAAGCCATCTTTGGTGTCCAACAGTGACTAGCTCTGAAACCCAGACAGTTCTTGGCGCTGTTCTGCTCGTAAACACTAAGGAGTCTGTCATCGAACAACCCTAAAACTGGACGGACGTTACTGTCCACTCCCTGGGCTGCTCACCTGGCCCTTGTTCCTAAAGACGGACTGGCCACACGGTCTCCTTCCTTTCCTTTATGAGGGGCCAACACCTGCTGAACCCAGTGAGCTCTGCCAAAGGTCACTTCTGTGCCAGAGGAAAACCAAAGGAAAGCCTTGCATTGTTCCGGTGTCAATAGCCAATGATTTTCCTCCCAGAAGCTGCATTTTCTCACCAGGGCTGCCCCGTGCCAAGGAGTTCTTTAGTATTCGAATCAATCAATAGAGGCACAAAAGCCCGAAGCAGTAGTACATCGGAAAACTCTTTGTAGAAGACTTAATAGCATGTTGGCAACTCAATCATTCTACATTTATGTTTCAGCAACGTCAAACGACAGCAGTTAAGAGAGAACCTGCTGGCAAATTGACAAACAGCCACCACTACCCAATTAAATAGCAGCACCAGAGGATTGTTCATTGCAGAGCTCTGAAAGGAAAAAAATCAGTTTGCTTCCAAGAATACTTATTCTGGATAGCTTTGTACTGTAAGCACAATAGAGTGTAACAGGCCCCGATTTTAGAGCGTGGAGGCTAAGGGGTAATTTGTAACGCAAGCACCGTGATCCGGCAGGGCTGGAGGAGGAGGCTGGCTGTGGGCCACCAGCAGAATCCACTGCCACAAGGGGCCAGTCAGCCCCAGGCCCAGGGGAGATTTTGTCTGAAGACATCTGGTTGTCCCAACTGGGAGGTGGGGAACTTCTGCGCCTGATGAGCAGATGCCAGGGACATTGCTGAGCACCCTGCAATGCCCAGAGAGTCCCCAACAGCAAAGAATGACCCAGCCCAGAATGTCAGCAGGCTGGGAAACCCTTGCATCACCCAGTAGGTTAAACTTACAAAAAGACAGAGTAAGCCTTCTTGTTCTACTTGAACTTAGTCTGCCAGTACTTTAAAAGTCAAAAAGAACAAGTATTTTCATGATCGAGTATTTTCACCCACGGAGACACTCAGATATTCATCAAGGTAAGAAGTTTTAAAGGGATAGTAAAAAAAGGACTTGCTGTCAAATTTTTTGAAAATTGGCCTTAAGAAGATGCACAAAGGTGGCTTCACTTTGTCACAGAATGACTCTATTTCCTTCCATTCCTAAATTACAAGGGTGAAGCTCAAAAGCAGTAGTATTCTAAGTGCCACAGATTCTCTGTGGCTGTTTGGTGACTTTTGCTACTATCAATAACAATGGTCAGCAAGAAAGGCCAGATGTGCACCTCTGTCTTCACGGCTCTGCCTCCTTCTGTGGCTGCTCATGCTGCGGAGCACAGGCACCTTCCCAAACTCCCCCTCGTGATGGGGACACTGGGTTTCCATCTGGCCTCCTGCCACCAGCCTTCCCTAGCCTTGCTGACCCAGAAGACACCTGCAGGTGCTGCTCACAACCATGCTGCACAGCTGTGGCCCCAACTCATGCAGCGTGGCCGGGAGAGCTGGGGTGCAGGGGCAGAGAAGCTGAGGCATCTCCTATCAGGCCACTCTCCAATCAACCTGTGCCTCTGGCATCCCCTCAGACCAGGGAACTTCCTGTCAATTCAGAAACTTGCTCAATAGCTCTCCCGGCTGCCCACAAGCTTGTTGAGACCACAACTGTCCCTCCAGCCCCACCTCCTGTGTTCCACGGCCTGGCCCTGGAATCCCACCCAGCTGCAGAGGAAGGTCTCTCGGTTACCCCCGTGCCCGCCCTTTCCCTCCCCCTGGGCATCAGTCCTCAAATCCTGCTGGCTCCGCGTCTGAGCTCTCACCCAGAAACCCGTGCGCCCTTCCCCTCTGACTGCCTCCCCTGCCACCTTCTCTGCCAATCAACAGAGGCCTCCTTGGTGGGTCTCCAGGCCTGCCAGCCCAGCACGGGTGCTGAGATGCAGAGCGAGCCCACCCCCTGCCACTCACACGCTTTCAGTGGCTCCCCACGGCCCTCGGGGATCCGAGCTCCTCAGTTGGTGGCAAAGATTCCAAACTCCCCTGCGTGAAGGGGACACTGGGTTTCCACCTGGCCTCCCATCACCAGCTTCCCCAGCCTGGCTGACACAGAGGCCACCTGCAGGTGCTGCTCTCACCCATGCAGCCCTGCCCATGCTGTGCTCTCTTAAGTCCAGCACTACCCGCTGCTCGCCCGCCCCAGAACAGGCCTGTGCTGTGCACACCTGACAGCCCAGGACCCAGGAGGGTGCTGTCTATGTGCTGTTCACTCAGAGGCTCTTGTGTTGCTCCTGAGCCAGATCTGGGTGGGGACAGGGAGTGGGTAGAGTCAGAAAGGAAGGGTTTGGCAGGGCACGCCCGTGAGCCACCATGCCTCTCGCAGACCCGGAGACAGGTGCCCATTGCGCTCTGCAGGAAATCAGGGCGGGAGCAAGCCGCAGGCCTCTGCAGATGCAGAAGCAGGGGCAGCCCGGAGACCACACCAGAGGCCACCACTCCCCCCGAGGCTCCGGGAGCCCTGTCTGGTGGCCACGCTGGACGAGGAGGACAGAGAAGCAGGGAGGATGGTGCGGAGCAGGACACAGAGCCCCCTCCCAATAACCCTGGAAGGGGTAATGAACCTTTTTAAGATGCAGGACACATTTCTGAGGGCAAAAGCATAAAAGTCAGAAAAGGTGCCAAAAGGCGGTTTATTCAGAGGGGCAGAGGCACCCAGAACTACTGGTTCTCATCAGGAAATGCTCAGAAAGGAGACACGCAAGGCGCCATCTCTGCGTCGACCTTCCACCTTGGCAGCCCTTTACGGGATTAACTAATCCGTCCACGGCAGCGCCTAGGGCGGCGGATGCTCTGAGGGGGAAGAAAGAGGCTTCTGCAGATCGAGGGGCAGTGGCCTCATGCCCGCGAGTCCCAGGACTAGTCTCCTTCCTGCCCGCCAACGTGCTCGGCCTGCGACAGCCTCTCTCACGCCATGCTGAGCTCCCCTCTGGAGGAATTTTATTCAAACATTGCCACTAAGCTGCCATTATACGGGCTCAAGACATTAAGGAAGAGAAATGAACGGAAAAAAGGGAAATACATCTGGGATGCCTATGGGACAATTAACACCAGCCACCCCTGCAAGGCATTAATAATAATTAAAACTTATAATGTCAATTTCACGGCTCATTACTCAGATGCGGCACACACATCTTCCTCCGGGCTTAATGTCCTACCCGTGGAGACGGGGTGCTCGCACGTGCACAGCGGCACCATCTCCAGCTTTTATGGGGATCAAACACACGGCAGCAGCTTTGATGAATGTGCCGCTGTGATCCCCGACAGGGCTCCGGGGGCGTGCTTCCTGCTCCCCCGCCCATGAGGGGAGGCGTCTGTGTCATGCAGAGGGGGCACACCCTGGCCCAGTCCTGCTCCTCCAGACCCCTCAACAAGCTGGAGCAAAGAGCATGGAACAGGAACCCCTTCTGCCAGGCACAGTGGCTCACCCCTGTAATCCCAGCACTTTGGGAGGCTGAGGCAAGAGGATCGCTTAAACCCAGGAGTTTGAGACCAGCCTGGGCAACACAGCAAGACCCTGTCTTCAAAAAAAAAAACAAAAAAAGGAAAGAAAAGAAAAGAAAAGAAAAGAAAAGAAAAAGAAAAAGAAAAAAGAAAGAAACCTCTGTGTTCAGATCCTAGGGACTTCCCAGAAGTAGCACTTGCCGTGGTTCCAACTACCTGTCACCAATGGAGGGCTCCCCTCCACCACCAGCCCAGCAGGACAGATTGTCTGCCTGTTTTGTTCACTGTTGCATCCCCAGCCACTGACCTGACATAGATCATATGCTCAAAATATCTACCAAAAGAATGAGCACATAGACTAACAAACCCATCCCCTGGGAGTGGGGCCAGGGCTCAGAGCCTTCATCTGGAAGAACTTCCCTGCCCACTATTTTTCCCAAGATCTGAGGTCAGGGTCCATGCAGCCAAAGATCCTACTGCTAAGAGAGGCTGGGCCTGGGGAAGTGGGGGAAGCCCGGTGGGTGCCAGATGAGGAGGAGGGCACTGTACCCGGGGCTCGGCTGGAAAAGGAGCATGGAGTTAGAGATGTACCGAGTCCTCTTCTTCTGCCATCTCCTGGTCCTCCTGGAACAGGGTGTGACATAGCCAACAAGTGCTAGGGAAATGAACATGCTTACGGGCAGGCCACAGAGCGGGAGACCCTAATGGGAAACAAACCAAGCATTTCAGGGTCTACGAATGTGGCAGACGCTAAGGGTCCTCCAGTACCCGCTCTCTCCTTTTGGTCTGCGAGAATATTCTGAGTTTCAAATGGAATCAAGCTTCCCCAGCTAAAGCCTTCCTTTTCTACCCTTGCTTGCAGGCAGCCCTGGCTATGTATTCAAATTTCTGAAAGTGATTCATGCAAATTCGGAAGCATGTTTTATAATGACATTTATCAGGAAATGCTACCTTCCCATGGGCTGCATGGTAGATGTGGGGGTGGGGCACAGCTTTTCCACACAAAGATTATGCTCAGAACAAGAGGTGATGAGACCCGGGTCCTCGGATGAACTCATAAAACAGAGCCCTGGACCATGAAGGGAGAAGGGACACTTGATCTTATTTGAGCCACAATGTTTTAGGATCTTCTCATTCACAGCTTCTCCTGTACCCTGAGTCATTCAGGGGGTCTCAGGTATTTTACAGCTTCTTTAGCTTGTTAGCATTTTTCAAGGCAAGACATTGACTTTGACATCACCTTCGAGGATTATCATTAATACACTCCCATCTTAGAAAAGTACTTTTAACCTGGACATTCTCGAACTTAGAAAAGGTACGATTTCATAGTATTACCTTACTGTAAATAATGTCTTTAACCAGAGTATGCCCCATCTTTTAGTTTACAGACTTAATTTGTACTGAAGAAGTTGCTTACTATATCACACTACAATCAGAAGGTGCCCAGGTTTTAGTTTTATAGCTGATTATATTTCAAGTTCCTTCTTCCCTTTTCCCAATTAAAAGGTTCTACCTGTTGGGTCCTGGCTTTTGATTCTTTCACTCTTTTATTCTCGTTGTTTCTTCCTTCCCCACATTTACACACTCATTTGTGGAACTCCTGCAACATGCCAGACCCTAGGCTCCAGGCTAGAGGGAGGAGTAAGACACAACCCTTTATGCACAAGGTCACCACCAGTGGGCCCAGGAGCCATGATAACAATTACAACATGATGAGAAATGTGACAAAGGAGGGACACACAATTTTCCCCTCAAGCCCAGGGAATGAGGCCACCCCCAAGCTGCTGCTGCACGATGCAACTGTTAAGATGTAAGCTGTCTACGGCCAAGAGTTTCATGTTTTGGCAAGATTAAGGAGGATTCAAAAGCAAATTTCTTTTTCTTTTCTTCTTCTTCTTCTTCTTCTTTTTTTTTTTTCCTATTCCCAGACTTTGTCAAGGCCCTCTTCCCAAGTTTGATAGCCCAATTCCTGATGTTAGTGGTATTTTGCTAGAAGGTGGGAGGGTTTACGTTCCATTCTAAACTGTTAGGAGAAGTGGGATTTAGGGAAGGTTATGTTTCACCTTAGGAACATCTGTTGACTTTGGGCTGGATGGAGTCATTTATATGTGGACGGTATAAAGCATTTTGGATTCCTGCAGATGAAGGTGCTATAAAAAGTGATGCCATTCTTATGCCATGTAAGGGATATGGCTCTTCAAACTGTCCCAGCAAGTGGTACAGCTAGTGTTACAGCTCTTGACCAGGAAAAGAACCAACCGGCACATGGAGAGTCAGAGAACAGCCTTTATTCCATCAGTAGAATCAGCATGCCACCAATTTCTGACCCCACCTTCCTTGTTCTCCTCCAGTTTTTATACCCTTGGTAGGATTGAAAGCGTGCAATCAGCAACTAGCTTTAACATCCAATCAGCAACAAGCTTTAACATCCAATCAGCAACAAGCTTTAACATCCAATCAGCAGTGGGATTCAAAAAGTATCCAATCAAGATCGCGCAAACAGCGCAGCCCATGGAGACGACGGGCACCACCGAGAACGGACACGAGGCCACCGCCTGAGGAGCCGCTGTGCCTTGGCCTAGACGGAAGCGGGTAAGGAGCGGCAGGGAGGCAGCAAGTGGCCACATCCCAGCGCCCGACAGTTTTCCCTGTCAAAACCTCTTTTCAAATTAGGCAATACAACTTTATAATAAAACCACCATGTCCTAAAATATGAACCTTTTTTAAAACAACACTCTCCAAAGAATTAATTCATAACTGAAAACTTGATTCACCCTCCTTAGGATGTGAAGCCGACTTCTAAGCCACTTGTATCTGTTACCCTGGACAAGGAAAGGAGAGAGACGAGGACCTCACTGGGTCTGGCAGCAACAAGGTGAGCTTCAAATTATGGACATTTCAGAGAGCCTGAGGGACCATTCTTAGAAAAAGCCACCCATGGCAAGGGTACAGATCAGTTAGGAGGTTTGTATTTTTGTTTTTATTTGGGGAGATATTTACAGCCAACATTGATGGAAATATTGAGAGTGAAGATGACCCTGTAGAAGACACACACACACACACACACACACACACACACACACATTCACAGGCTGGTCCGTGGCTCAGCTCAGGATTCACACTGACGAGGTCCTTGCCAGTTGGCTCCTGCACGACCATGAGCCCCCTCGTGTATGATGATCACCATGACAGCTGCAGCACCACTGCTCCCACCAGACCCAGGAGCCCACCTCCCACCGCCTGGCATGAAGAGGAACAAAGGGAACCCAGCGTCACCAAGCAGCAAGGGCCTCTACGGTCACCACAGCCCTACCCTGCACGCTGGTCCCGGCTTGGGGCTCATGTCGGTGCCTGCAGAACTTCCTGGGCTACCATCAAGGCCGACCATCAACAAAAGGAGGGCCTGGAGGACGTGATGAAGTCCCTAACGGGGAAGAGATGGCAGAGTGGAAGAAGCCCGTGCTCACTACTCTCAAGGAGGAGATCAAAAGGTACCAGCAGATGCTCACCTCTGGAGGGACTATCATAGACAGAGCATCATGAACCATCAGGGAGACTGGAGGTACCCAAAATGAAGAGGAGGGAAGCCAGGTGAACCCCTTGGCAGGACCGGTAGGTACCTGAAAATGGTGCTCACATGTGGGGAGGGGTCAGAGGAGACCCCCGAGTTCCACACTCCCCCTGTGGACACTGCAACCCGAGCTGTTCAGGGGCCCTTCCACCACAGCAGGCCTTGGAGACTGCAGCATTACCCCAGAGGGCAGGCACAGCAGGGTCCTGCTGGCTTCTGATCCCAGGTTGCTGCAACTGACACCACTCTGAGCTCTCCGCCCCAGAGGGCCCATCTACACAGGGGTCAGCGCCACTACAGCTGCCTTCTCCTCACCCCTGCCAGGCCAGAGAGGGTGTGGGCAGGACAGGAACTCTCACAAACCCTGTGACTGAGTGCCATGTGCCACCCCCTTGCCACTGGGGATCTGAGAAGATCATGGCTCCCAGCATCTGCCACCACTATGTGGATAGCACCACCACTGCTGCCACCTGAGTAGCACAACAGCAGCTGCCACCACCAGTCCTGGGCAGAAAGAAAGCTCCAGATGTTGTGATGTGTCTGTAGAGCATTGCATGCCTTCGTGGCCCTGCCAGCCATGACACGCCCAGCCACCAGAGCCCTACACTCCATGTGCTTTAGTGGCCCCCACGTGCCGTCTGCCACCCAGCCACTGTGGCCCCGTCTTCCATGTGTTGTTGCACCACTATGGCCTTGCCCAACACTCACCGCCTTGTGCTTCCAAGGCCCTGCCTGCTGCTGTAGCCTCACTCACTTCATACTGCCTTGTCACATGCCACCACTGCATTTGGACCTGGGTGAAGTAAACGCCCACAGCCCTGGTACCCATCGCTCCCATCTAAGTAGCCTTGCCAAGCCACCACTGCCATGGGGAGACTTGGGAAAAGCAAACTCCCACATCACTCAGCTCCGTGAGGAGGGAGACACCCAGCCTCCTGCCCAAGCTTCCAATAGCAGCCTGGGGACCAGCCCACTACTCTGCACGAATATTCCCTAGCATTGACTTGAGCTGTGACAACCACAAGGGAACAGGATGACACAGAAGAACAGCTGTATTACAGGCTCTCAGTGCAACCATCCTTCTCCTGCTGGGTGAGTCTTCTGGAGTACGACACAAATGAACCATCCACAGATTGCTCCTTGTTTTCACCAAGGAGGAGAGTGCCCAGCAGAGGGGAACAGGTGCACTGCAAAGTTATCTATATTGAGCTGAGAGAAGAGGATTCAGATGAGAAGGAGCCAGCATAAGAACTCTAGCAACATTTGAAAGCAAGCTGTTTTGACAGCTTCAAAAGATCACAATAGGTCTCCAGCAATGAACTTCAAGCAAAAGGAAACTGTCAAGATGAAATGTCAGGTACAGAATTCAGAATACAGATCACAAGTAAGATCAATGGGATTGATGAGAAAGTTGAAAACCAACACAGAGAAACCAATAAAATAATTCAGGGCATGAATGAAAAATTCTCTAAAGAGATAGATAACATAAGAAAAGATATAACAAAACTTAAGGAAATGAAAGGGTCATTTAGGGAATTTCAAAATAAAACAGAAAACTTTAAAAACAGACTAGACCAAACAGAAGAAAGAATTTCAGAGTATTGAAGATAAGGCTTTTGAATTAATGTAGTCTGTCAAAAATATAGAAAAAAGAATAATTAAGAATGAACAATCACTCAGAGAAGTATGGGACTATATAAAAAAAGCTCATATAAGAATCAGAGAAGGGAGAAGAAGAAAAAGCAAAAAGCATGGAAAACCTATTTGAGGAAATAAGTGAAGAAAACTTACCTGGTATTGCTAGAGATTTAGACATCTGGATACAAGATGGTCATGGAATACCTGGAGGATTCATAGCAAATAGGACATCACCAAACATAGAGTTATCAGTCTGGTCAATGTCAAAGTGAAGGAGAAAATCCTACAAGTTGTGAGATGAAAGCAACAACTAGCTTAGAAAGGAAAACTCATCAAACTTACAGCAGATCTCTCAGAAGAAACCTTACAACTCAGAATAGATTGAGGTCCCATTTTTCATCTTCTTAAACAGAATAACTGTCAGTCAAGAATTTTGTATCCTACAACACAAAGTTTCATAAATGAAGGAGAAATAGTCTTTCCCAGACAAGTAAACACTAAAGGAATTTGTCACCACTAGACCTGCCTTACAGGAAATGCTTAAAAGTGCTCTATACATGGAACAGAACAATTGATACCCACCAGTGTAAAAATACCCAAAAGATATAGCTCACAGCTCGTTTAAAACAGTAGCACAAGGGGAGAAAAAAACAACAACAAGGTATCATTCAACATGATGGACAGAGCAGTATCTCACATATCAATTCTAACATGGAACATAAACAGTCCTACTGTTCCACTTAAAAAAAAAAAAAGGTAATAGGTTGGCTGAATGGATGAAAAAACACAATGCAAATATATTCTGTCTCCAAGAAACCTATCTAACTCTCTAGGACTCTTATAGACTCAAGGTAAAGAGATGGAAAAAATATTTCATGCAAATGAAAACCAAAAATAAACAGGAGTAGCTATTCTCATATCAGACAAAATAGACTTTAAATCAACAACAGTTAAAAAAGAAAAAGATGGTCATTATAGAATGATAAATGGAGTAATTCAGCAATAAGATATAACAACCCTAAATATATATGCACCTAACACAGGAGCTCTCAGATTCGTAAAACAAATTCTATTAGATGTAAGCAAAGAGTATAAACAACAGCATCGTAAAAGTGGGAAACTTCAACACTCCACAGACAGAACCGAACAAGATCATTGAGGCAGAAAATCAACAAAGAAACACTGGACTTAAACAGAACTCTAGAACAAATGGACCTAATAGACATTTATAGAACATTCTATCTAAAAACTACAGAATATATTAATACATTTTTTCATCAGCACATGGGACACCTTTGAAGATAGACCATATTTTAGCCTGCAAAACAAGCCTCATTCAGAAAAATCAAAATCATACCATGTAACTCTCAGACCACAGGGGACTAAAACTAGAAATCAAAATTCCAAGAGGAACTCTCAAATATAAACAAAGTCATGGAAATGAACAACCTTCTGCTGGATGATCCTTGGGTCAGTGACAAAATTAAGATGGAAATCAAAAGATTTTTTTAAAAAAATGAATGACAAAGAGGACACACAAGTTCCAAAATCTATGTGGTACAAAAAAAGCAGTGCTAAGGAGGAATTTCACAGCCTTATATGCTTACATCAAAGAGACAGAAAGATCACAAATCAGCAACCTAATGTCACATCTCAAGGAACTAGAAAAAGAACAATAAACCAAACCCAAAGCTAACAGAACAAAGAAATAGCAAAGCTCAGAGCAGAACTACATGAAATGGAAACAACAACAAAAAATAACAATACACAGTCTCAATGAAACAAAAAGTTGGTTCTTTGAAAAGATAAACAAATTTGATAGACCACTAGCCACATTAATCAGAAATAGAAGAGAAAGGCCTCAAATAAGCCCTGTCAGAAATGAAAAAGGAATCATTACAACTGATACCACAGAAATACAAAATATCAGCCTTGACTACCATGAAAACCTCTACACACACAAACTAGAAAACCTAGAGAGAATGGATAAATTTTCGGAAACACACAACCTCCCAAGCTTGGATCAGGAAGAAATAGACATCCTGAACAGATGAATAATGAGTAGCAAGATTGAAACAGTAATAAAAAAATCTCCCACCAAAATAAAGTCTTGGACCAGATGAATTCACAGCCAAATTCTACCAGATCTATAAAGAACTAGCACTTATTCTACTGAAACTGTTCTATAGTATTGAAAAGGAGGGAATCCTCTCTAAATCATTCTATAAAGCCAGTATCACCTTAATATCAAAGCCAGGAAAGGACACAACAAAAAAAAGAAAACTGTAGAACAATATCCCTCATGACATAGATGCAAAAATCCTCAAGAAAATACTAGCAAACCAATTCTAACAGCACATTAAAAAGATAATTCCCCTTGATCTAGTTGGATTCATCCCAAGGATGCAAGGATGGTTCAATATATGCAAATCAATAAATGAGATTCACAACATAAACAGAAGTAGAAACAAAGACCATTTGATCATCCCAATAGATGCAGAAAAAGCATTCAATAAAATCTAGCACCCCTTCATGATAAAAACCCTAAATGAACTAGGTATAGAAAGAACATATCTCAAAATAACAAAAGCCATATATGACAAACCCACAGCCAACATCACACCAAATGGGGAAAAGTTGAAATAAAAATAAGATATGGATTCACTCTAAGTGTCCATCAATTCATGAATGGATAAAGAAGATGTGGTATGTGTATGTAGTGTGTGTCTACACACAAAGAAAAGGACATTGGAAACTAAGAAAGGGGCAGGGTGGAAGGGAGATGTGGGATAAAATCTAATATATTAGGTACAATGTACGCTATTCCAGTGATGCGCACATGAAAATCCTTGATTTCAGCACTATACAATTCAGCCATGTAACAAAAACACTTGTACCCACTTAATATTTTGAAATAAAAATAAAGAGAAAAGATCCTAATGAGCATGGAATGATGTCATTTCCTTTCAGTAAAATTAAAATATGCATGTCCAGAGTGTCCCCAGTCAAAGATGAACCACCTGCTCTCCACTTCTGCTGGGAGAGGCAGGATCTGACAGCATACAAGATGAAAACTTGAGATAACCAGAATTGCCTGGAGAAGTCTTAACACTGGGCTAGGAAGTCCTGTTAGAATTCAGAATGCCTTGTTTAGGCCCTTGTGCCCTACCCTCCACATGATGAACAGAAAGTGGCATATATAGATAGCGTACATGTGAGTACACACATGTGCACACGTTGTGTACTGCACACATTCTCAACAAACATGCTCCACCTGCCACATTACCTTCTGAAGTCAGCGAGGAGGACTGGACAGTGAAAATTCCCGGTATCAGCATAGATGAGGAGCTGGCAAATCTGTCCTGCCTCCAGTCTTTGCAAAGCAAGCCTCACTGGTCACAGGCACACCCACTCATTTACGTATCATCCTGCTGAGCAGCTGCATCAGAGGCCACACGGGCCACAAAGCAAAAACGTCAGCTGTCTGGTCCTTTACAGAAAGAGCCTGCCAACCCCTGGAACGGGACGCCGAGCGGGGGCCGCAGGGCCCCCTGTGTGGGTGTGGTGTGTGTCACACTCAAGACACTCAGCACTTCCCCTGTTAAAGCAGCGATCAGGTAATTGGTGGTGGCCTTGCAACTTGATTTGTGACAAAGTGCCTTGTTCTTGGAGGCTTGCTTTTCCCGTAAGCTGGAGATAATCGAATCTGTCCTCCCATTCCTCCTAGTAATGTAGAGAGAGAAAACTGATGACACACAAGGAGCTTTGTGTCTCTTCATGAAGAAGGTGCTGTGAAAACAAAGATGCTTGAAACGCTGCCGCCGGCTGGAATCATCACCCTCCTTTGGGGACTGGACATTCAACAGCAGCCGGCGGAGGGGCCGCGGCGAGCCCTCGCCGTGTGCCCACCGTGGGCGTGCCCGCCTGCTTCTCAAAGGGGAAAGGCAGGGGTGGCAGCTTTGCTTCCAAATGCATTTTGTATGCTACTGAGTCAATCCTGTTATTTTCTGTGATATATCTACCAGAAATTCCTTCTCAAAGTCTTCACGGTTTAATGCAACTTTGTACACTCATTTTAAAGTAAAAATGGGCCGTCAGTTGTCATTTCACCCAGTGTAGCAAACGAGACTGCCATCCAGCATGGCACCTCTTCCCCGGTGGGGGGGAGGGCCTCTCTCCTGTCCACCAGCTTCTGGGCCAAATGGTGATTCTGGGCCAAATGGTGATTTTTGACTTCCTAAAATATTTTTGAGCTTCCTAAAATACTAAAGAGCTTACAAGGCCTGTCTGAATTTTCAAAAATTAGGGAGAGGACCACCTTCTACTCTAAACTTTTTCTGATGGGTCCCAGATGTTGTCAGTCACCTAAATCAACCTTAAGGTTTTGATGACATCCGGCCATCAGTCTCACCCACATAACCCACTACCCGGCCCCAAGAGAGTTTCTTTTATTGTTGTTGTTAAGTTGCTTCATTAATAATTATACCTTCCACATTCATTTAGCATTTTAAACTTTTCTAAGCATTTTTATAAGCTTTATTTAATTTTCACTCTTATTGTCCCAACAACCCTGCAGGGTAGGAAGTGGTTTTAGTCCATTTACACATTTACTCAGCAAATGGGATTAAGTGCTTGTTATTTGCAGGGTGCTGTTCTGGCCACGGAGTTTGGCAGAGAACAGAACACTCACAGATTCCTAACCTTGGGGTCATGTTCCAGCCGGGAGGCAGTAAGGAAATGTTCAGATGTAAAGTATTGGGACTGTTAAAGACAGATTAAGTGCTAAGGGCACAAATAAACCAGAGAAGCCAGCAGGAAATGTTGTGGGGTGGGGACAGGATGGAATCTTAAGAGCATGATGCTGAGAAGGTCATGCTGAGTGACATCTGCATGCAGCGCAGGCCGCTGGGCCCAGTGCCGAGGTGGCAGCCTGGTGAAGAAGGTGGCTTCCAGGGTGGGGGCTCCAGAAGGGCTGGAACACCCCAGTGGGGGCCCTGGAAGTGCGCCTTCCTGTCCACCGCTGGAACCACAGCACGGGGCGTGCACGGGGCTGCCCCACCCACTCTTGCACCTCTGCAGCATCCTTCTTCATCCAGCCCAGTCCTGGCCCTCCCATCCAGGGAAAAGCCAGCCAGGGTCCCAGACAGACAGGCAACTAGGATGCCCTGCAAGGTGGCCTTCACTGTGGAAGGCACTCTGACCACAAGGTGGTCTTTAAATGAGTTGTTTATGATTTGAAGAAGGGGTTGGACTTTTCTACAGTCTTAGAAACCTGCCCCCCTCTTTAAGAATGTAGCACATTTACCGCTGAAATCATTCTAACCATGTCCCAGTTATTAATTCCTCTAATCTTCATAGCAACCTCAGGAGGCAAGTATTATTGTTGGTGATACTATTATATAATTATCATTATAATAATTAATATTGTAATGGAGATATCATCTCCATTTTATAGCAGAGGAAACTAAGTCGAAAAGAGGTTAAGTAACATGTTTAAGGTCATATAGCCAGTCCACCGCAGGGCTGGAGTTCCACGGTTTGTGTCCTTATCTTCTATGCTAGAGGTTCACAAACTTTTTCCCTATTAGAGCCAGTATTTTTGGCTTTGCAGGCCTCAGGTGTTGGTTGTAACTATTAGGCTCTGCCATTGTAGCAGCCATAGCACCACAGACTGTAAATACACGGGTGTGACAGTGTCCCAGTGAAACAGGTGTCAATGGATGTGACTCCGGGGCTAGGATCTGCCCATCACTGCTCAGTGCTGTGCGTGTTGCTTCACTTTTTGTCCAGTAAGCTGTGATGTCAAGTCCATGTTAACAGAGAAAATGGCTTGTTTTGTGTTTTTAAAAGTGAGAAACTCAACAGATTGATTTTTCTCAAAATCTGATGCTTAAACCAATGTATGAAACTGGTCACATCCAGTTCCCTGTGCATTTCAGTACAAGGATATGCTGGGGGATTTTCAAGGTGAAACCAATCACCCTGAACCTGAATTCTCACCTGCAGGCAGGGAATGCCTCCCCCTGACATACACAGGCAGCCCATTTCTTCTCTCCTGGTGTAGGCCTGGTGTGGCTGAGCCCCGGCAGTGTCAGACTTCGGACAAGAGCCAGGCAGGAATTGAGGTCTCTGCTGGAAAATGCCCCAGGGTGGTGCCACAGCTGCAGGACACTAGGCCGGGCAGGAGAGTGTGCAGCTCCACGCTCAAGTGTGTGCACCTTGCAGGGCCCAGCCAGCACGTGGAAGGAATGACCCAGCAGGGCTTGCTGCCTTCTGTATCCTGCCGATGTCAGGGCCCGCCAAGGTTTCACTTTCACCGTTTATTTCCATCCATCAGAACAGCTCAAAGGAACCCACTGGTTTCTGCTCATTGATTCTGTGTGGCAAGAAACACTTCAGAGCATTTGTAAGGACACAATTAACATACCGTGCAAATTAAAGGGGAAGACCTCTCTCTCACTGCCCACACTGGCACCTGAACCTCCACATGCTAACCTGGGGTGGAGGATCTGTTTCTGGAAACACTTTGCAGGGAGCTCTATAGGAAGCTCCGTAGGAATTGCTCAGCAGAGTAATCCAATGCCCTTGCCATTTCCTGCCTGGCAAATTAGAGCATATCCTGCTCACAGGGCAGTCCCAACCTCCTTAGCACTGAAAAGTGAGCTAAGAAAGGCAGAACCTTCTCCACCCAGATGGGGCTGAGTGCCTGGGAGCTTGGGCCCTGGTGTGTGGTGGGGACAGGAGAAGGCTCCATTCCATGCACATATCAGGAACCATCAGGGGCAGAGGCAGCCAGGGATCCTGGTGCCCACACCTGCTCCCCGTCCAGAAAGACCTGCACCCAGTGTGGTGGGGCTGGGCGAGCTGCGGCACCGTCAGTGAGCTGCAGGCTGACAGGGAAGGAAGGGGTGAAGCATCGCAGGCAGAGTTCACAGGGCTGATTGTACCTGGGGTCCACAAATAGAATTAGGAGAAGGAACTCTCCTAGGACAGAGCTAGGGTGGCAGAGGGAACAAGGCAGGTCGTCGGGTTGCCTCTACCCTGAACTCAGAGAGGCAAGAAGGCCTGCTGGGGGCTCATACAGGGCAGCCTGAGGGGGGCTCAAGGCACAGCCGCCTTCCTCTTGTGGGCAAAGCACCTCTTCTGCTGCTGTATACAGTCAGCCCTGGCCAATGTCTATGCTAAACAAATGCACTCGAACGACTGGTGAAAATCATGCAGTCTTCTCTCTTTAGCTAAAGCAGAAAGTCACAGAGTCCTGGTACCTGCTGCTGCTGGGCTCAGCCGGCAGCTGCAGCTAAGTGTGGACAGTTGAGCACCAGAAAGGCCCACAGAAGGACCAGCCAGGCTCTGGGGGGCAGGTGAGCTCCTCCGGGGAGGGCAGGGGCTGCAGCTCCTCTGGAAGCCGGGGTGTCTGTGCAGGGCTTTGGGGCTTACACTGTGCACTGGCAAAGGTCTGAACAGAAGACTTCTAAGAACTGTGATTAACATATCTGTTCATTCACTAAGTATTTCTTGGCCACCTACTATGTGCCAGACATGGTTCTAGGAACTGCTAATATGTTAGGAACAAAATAGACAAAAACATCTCTGCCCTAAGAGAGCACACACTTTAAAGGGGGAGAGAGACATACACCAAAATAAACCCTTAAGAATATGTAGTATATTAAAGACCATAAGTACTTCAAAGAAAATACCCAGTAAAGGGATAGGAAATGATGGTGGAGTGAAGCTGCAATTTTAAATTAAGGAGGGTGAGAAGAACTTGAGAGGGGGGAGGGAGATTCTGGGGGAAATGCCCCAGGCAGCCGGAACTTACAAACCTGGTTAAGGTCCCAGTGCACACTCCAATAAGCTTGTTTAGGATGTAAAAGAGGGGAAGGGGGGGCGAGCAGGTTGGGTGGCTGTTAATTGCCTGCAAAGGAGGAACTCTTTGGTGGCCAATTCCTGAATCCTGCTCTGGCACCCAGCCCTGAAGGGCTGGCAGAGGATCTGATCTGCACACATAAGGGGATTTCAGTTTCAGGAAACAAAATACCCAGCATTCCCAATGCACCAGAAAACAGACCCAGGCATAGAGGATGGGGAGGAATGAGAAACTGCTTTTGAGTTCATCTCCTGGTCATCTTGGAAAGAGGACCTGGGAAAGCAGGAGTCCTTTTAAGATTTTGGTCCAAAGTCAACAACAGATACTACAAATGCCTGGCTTTTCATAGGGTCGTAGGCCAGGCACTAACACCTGGCACTACCTTTATTCAACACATACTTCCGGGGGCCTCCACTGTACACACTGCACAAGGTGCAGCACCAGAGACAGACGAGTGACTTGCAGACCCTTACCAGAAAACTTCACAGCCCCTTATGGGGAAGCCTGCTTACTGATAAACACAGGTGAGAACACACACACCTCTATAGGAGTGTGTGCCTAATGATGGTGTCTGTTTGTGTATTTGCGTACATATCTGAAGTACCTATCTTTATCTGCTCATAGCTCCATTTATCCATCCATCCATCCACCATGCATCCATCCATCCAACCATCCATCTCTCTATCTGCCATGTATCCATCCACCATGCATCCATCCAACCATCATCCCTCAATCCTTTCATCCATAATCTCTCCCTCCCTCCCTCCATCCATCATCCATGTGAACTTACTATCTTCTCTGTGCCCGGCGCTGGGTGAGGTTCTAGAGATGTAATAATATAAGGGCTGACAGACACTCCCATATTCACAAAGTTTGTAAAGAAGATTTTAGATTCATAAAATACAGAACATACATGACTTCAAAACATCAACAGGGTAGAAGTCTTGCATAATTATGAGATATGCTAAGATGAGGGAAAAAAGAGAAAGAAAAGGAAGAGACAGAGAGAGATAGGCACAAGGGGGAAGAGAATTTTGCCATTTTCTTGAGTTTTGCAATAACATTTGAAATGCAAACCAAAATTGAATAAAAGGCAACATTCTTCCTTCTGCAGGCCACAGAGCTGGGCAGACTTACCACACACATTCCAGCAGCACAGACACTGGGTAGAAGATACTTCTTCCAGCCTTGCCCTCAGAGAACCTCACACACCCCGAGAGCAGGAGCAGCCAGACTGTGTATACACGCCACATGTACTTCATTACCTATGTAGCGTTTCAGACTTTTTAACCATTTGCTCAATCTAGATGGAGGCAAAGGTTTTTCAAGGGCCAGGAATGCTGTCTTCTTCCTGTGTCCACCTCTCAGTGTAAGTCAAACTGTCACCTGGAAGGGTGATGCAAGAACCCAACAGATCAAGCTGTAGTTGATCTGGACCTCAAGTCAAGAGGTTCCCCAGAGAGACTTCTAGAAACCACTCACATGCATATAACTTTCCTTCCTTCCTTGCATAGCTCCAAACATTGAACCGGCTAAAGGTGGGGTAGGGGTGAGGCTGGGCCTGTAGTGAGGAAAAGCATCTACCTCTCCTCCTTTGTGTGACACCTCTGCAGGCGATTTTACTTCCCTCTGCCTCCCTGCTTCTTGGCTCTAAGCCAAGCTGCGCACTGCCCTTGTGCAGCCCCCGGAGACAGGAAACCTCTCTGCTGAAGCTTCCTCCCCGGGGAGACCTGTCAGCTCCGCCTCGTCAGAACCCATGGCTTCCGTCTCAGAAACGCACCCAAGGGAGGCTGAGCCCAAAAGATGGGGTGGGTGATGGGGTTCCCCTGTTCTCCTGCCAACACAGCGGGGAAGGCAACCCTCCAGCCACGGCCTCTGGAACCATTGGAAGCCAGTGATTGACATCTTGTTGAAAACCTCTTAGTGGATAACACCACCTGCTGCTTTGGGGCCAGATGTTCTCACGGAGATTGGGTCTCAATGCAAAGGTGCTTTCTTCCCACGCACTGTGTTTCCCCAGAAATCTCCTGGACGGTGCTCAGACGCAGAGATTTAGAGACAACTGACGGGCTTGGTGGGGTCCGGGCAGACACTAGGCCTGGAAGCTGGGGGACCGAGGAGGAGGCTGAGTGGAGATTAAACACCACACGGCGGCTGCGTAGAGACGCCACGTGGAGGAAGCCGAAGCAGGAGAGACAGGGGCGTTTTGAGAGGAGAGCAAGTGTGGGGGAAAGAGGAGGAGCCTTCCCAGGTCGCTGGATAAAGACGACGGCCTCTGTGGACCCAGGACCCGTCCCCCAAGGAGACAGTGCAGCACCAGGACGTGAGGAAGGAAGGAAGCAGCACGTCTGTCACCACTGGCTTGAACACCCCTGGGGAAGCCTGCACCCTCTGTCCCCGGTCAGACGGTGGAGAGAGAACGTGAGTCCAGGGACTGTCTGACCCTCGGACATTCCACCTCTGGATGGCATGTTTGAAAGTATCACAGTAACAAGAAAAAGAAACAAACTGCTGAGCTGATTATGCAAAGGCCAAAAGTGAAAACCGGGACCCTGGTAAGTGGTTTGTATAAAACTCAACTGCTTTTCTATGTACCATCAGCAAGCAAGTTATATTATAGAATATATTACTTAAAAATACCTTATATTTTTGTTGCTATTTTAAATGGTGATAGGAATAAATTTAACAAAAAAAATGTGCATTCCCTTTAGGAGAATATTATGCAATTTTACCGAAAGACATTAAAGATGACCCAAATAAATTGAAGGAAATATTACGTTCTTGAGTAAGAGGATTCAGAAAAGCTGTAATTTTCTCCCAACTTGATGTACAGTTCAAACGCATTTTCATTGCATATCTCAACAGGACTTTGAAGTACTTGACAAATTGATTCAAAATGTATATGGAAGAGCGAAGGCCCCTGCCCTACTGAGTATCAAGGCTTTAAGTAAGTTACAATAATTACGAAAGTATAGTTGAATCAAGAATAGACAAACAGACCGACAGAACAGAACAGAGTCCAGCGAACACACACGTGACATGGTTTATGAGCCTGGAGGATGCCGAGGACCTGCAGGGAAAAGCCTGTTGAATACATGCTGGCAGTGAGCCTATCTATCTAGACGGATAAAAACGGTCCTCCACCTCACAACGTTATTATTTCTAGCTGAATTAAAGTCTTAAATGGGAAAAGCAAAACTTTAAAACTTTTAGAAGTTCATAAAGCTCCAGGGCAGGAGAATACTTTTTAAACCAGACACAAAACACTCCCCATAAAAGAAAATTTGTTCAGATGGACAACATTAAATTAAAAAAAAAAATCCTCCTGTTTATCAAAGCTCATTAAAGACAAAGACAGTCCACAAACTGAGAGAAGACATGAACAACATATTTCAGAACCCAGGTATTAGCATCTGGACTCTATGAATCACTCAGCAGCTACACTGGCACCCAGCTGTGGGACCCTACAGTGGCACCCGGCTGTGGAGATGGGTGCTCAGGTGTGGGGGCCCTTGCTCTGCCCTCACCTGGGGGCGCCTGGGGTGAGCTACCCAACGTGTGCCTCGGAGTCCTCACCTACGAGACAGGCATCACCAGAATAAAACTTAGCTCCCTGGGAAGGACTGAAACAGTTCATATGCCCCAAACCCCTTAGAACAACGACAATGGAATAAGCACTAGGTAAGTACCACCTACCTATCTTCAAGAAAAGATAGATCTTTCAAGAAAAGACAAAGTAACTCAAATGGGCATTGTAGAAAAAGCTATAAACATAAATAGTCCCCAAAGACACAAAGTCATTCAACAGCGCTGGTGATCGGAGAACTGCAAATTAAACACAATGAGATGCCGTTTCACACCCACCAGATTGGCAAAAATTAAAAAGTCTGGCAACAGCAAGTGCCGGCAAGAGTGTAGCAGAAAGTGTCTCTCACCACTGCTGGTGGGGGTGTAAAGCGCCTCCCTATTGCCAAGCTATCCAGTTCCAAAGAATATCGCCCAGTGTTCTCCACTACGAATTCGATTCTATGTGTGCATCAGAGAAAAAGCAGCCACCAAACGCCCATCAATTTAAAAGTGGACAATGTGTGATATACTCAAATCATGAAATACTGCACAGCAGAGAAAAGTGAATGAGTGAAATCCACGTGCATCCACATAGCTGATTCTTTGCAGGGTGGAAAAGGCACGTTGCAGAAGAACGTGCCCTGATGCCAAGTATATAATATTCAGCATCAAGGAAAGATAAATAAAATAAAGTCAACAATTCAGAAACATGTATGTACATGTCCTTAAATGTCTTACCACCGTGAAGAAAAGGGGGGGTACACACGCAGGACACCCCCTGAAGGGCCTCCCGGTCTCCACGTAAACTGTGCAGACACATTGTGTTTCACAGTGAAAATAATCATTAAAGATAAAGCACAAAGACTACTCATTTTCTAATCTAAACGCCATGCATACTTCTAACCCTCTGTGAAATTTTTTGCAGGAGCGATTTGGAATAAAATGCTATGTGGTCCGTGTTTGGATCAGCATCTTTGCTAGCAGCGGTGGCAGGGAGGACACAGTGGGGACCTGCAGCCCTAACCTGCCCGAGGCTGGCAGAGTCTGTGAGATGTTCAGAGGAGCAGGGGGGCGACACCTGGCCTGGAAACCAGAAGATGAGTGGGGATGCAGAAAGAATCCTTCTAGCAATCCGGGCTGGGACTGGGACTGCCTGCCCAGGCAGTGGTGAGTTCCGTGACAGTCTGGAATGTCGGGGGATGTCATGAATGCCAAGTCGCTGGGGGTGGCGGTGGGGGGCAGGAAGCAGGAGAAATCAAGAGAGTAAGTGGTAGTCCCTGAAATCCACTCCACTCCCCGGGTTCTACGATTTCTTGGCTCGCTCTGTGTAAACCGACCCACCCCGACTCCAGCCCTGCCAGCTGGAGGGATGGAGCGAGACACTGATCTGCAGAGAAAATTACAGACCAGTGAGTTGTTTCCGAGCACACAGAGGAAACATGGCCAAGGAACCCTGCCCTGACCCCTCGGGCTGGGTCGGAGCCAGGGCACCCTTCCTTCTAGCCTCCAGGAAAAACAAGACACAAAAATCACACACACATTTGAAAAAAAAAAACCAAAAAACGTTTCTTACTCAAGCCAAAGGCCTGTCCCAGCACAGACTTTTCCTTGCCAAAGCTGTGTGAATGCATTTTTCTGTGTCAGTCATTACTGCTTAGAAGTGGGAAGAGGAGAGGGCTTGGGGAAGCGACAGCTCCACTGCCCCTTGCCGGAGGTGGCGTGCCAGCGTGCATGCGCATCGCGGAGACGCAGAGGCTCTGCGCAGCGAGGAGAGGCACACGCTGCTCCGGGGAATGAGAAGCAGATTTCGCTGTCCGCTCTCCCCAGCTGTGCACTCGTTCCCCCCTTGAAATCAGGCGGTACTTACACCGCCATTCTCATTGCAGCTCCTTTACCAACAAAAGGGATGCACAGCCTCTGAGCAAGGCAGTCCAGAATCAAGGATCAACTTTGCTTTCTTCAAACACCACCTTTAAAAGGGCTGCTTAGCGCTTTACAAATATCAGTCGACAGATCATCAATCTGGTTTCACCTTCTATGGAGCTGGTGGCTGGAACTTTTCATTATTGTTTTAAATCGAAAAATTTAATCAAACTGTCTTTACACCCACTAGGATGGCGAAAATCAGAAAGACAGACAATAATAAGTGTTGACAAGGATGTGGAGAAACCAGAGCCCTCATACTTGCTGGTGGGAATGGAAAACGCTGCAGCCACTTTGAACAACTGTCTGGCAGGTCCTTAGTAGCTTAAAGAGAACTGCCAGGTGACCCAGCAGTTCCGCTCCTGGAGCGGTGGGAAAACGTCCTCACAAAACACACACCTGACTATCAATAGTTGCACTATCCACAGCAGTCAAACGTGAGAAGTTCTCAAATGTCCGTCTCTGATGAATGGATGAAGTGTCGGCTGGCCACGTAATGGACAATTACCCGACCACAAAAAATGAAGTACTGATCCATGCTGCACCCAAGATGAACCTTCAAAATATTATGCTACAGAAAGAGGTCAGACACAAACAGCCACCTATTATCTGATTCCATCTATGTGAAATGTCCAGAATAGACAAACCCATAGGAACTGAAATTAGATTAGTGCTTCCAGGGGCTGAGGGGACAGGGAAATAGGGGAGTAATTGCTAATGAGTGTAGGGCTTTGTTCTGGGGTGACGAAAACGTTCTGGAATTAGATAGTGGTGGTGGTTGCACAACTTTGGGACTATACTAAAAATCACTTTAAAAAGATAAAATACAAGCTTAAAAAACTAAAAGATTAGTACTCTGAGATATTTGGGAACCTAAAATAACAACGTCTCCCTGCCCACTCTTGCAGGGGGGTGGGGCGCAGGCCGCTTCCTCATCTCCTCCAGGCACTTGCTCCGGGAGCTTGGAGAGCACGGCTAGACCCCACCCAGACCCCACGCGTGCCAGGAGTCTCCAGCCCTGGTGCCAAAGCACGGCCAGGCCAGGCCAAGCTACCCTGGGGGCCTGGATTTTATGCCCTACCCATCACCGCCTCTGACATTCTTCCCGGAGAGAGCCAGCTACCAGTGACTAGCGGAGGATGCACTTAGGTTGTTTGTTTTTATAAATCTCACTGAACGTTCTCTGGGACAGTATGTCTACATATGTGTTTTTCTGTGTGTGCATTTCTGATTCCCCATGCGTGTAAGTCCCCGTTGTGGAGAGAACGCAGAACCTACAGCTGGAGCCACTCAGCCTCTTCTTCAGTCGTCCGCCTCTGTGTCACCTGCTTCACAGGCACTCACCCCTGTTGCAGCTCCTGCTACACTAACCTGATGCCCCCAGCCAAGACCTGATGAGCCAGAGGCTCTTGGTGGCCCCTGGCCCTGCTTCCCACTGCAGGAGTGCACACCTCCCCTTCCCCTCACCGCATCACCCCTGGGCACGGGCGCATCTCTCTGGAGGGCGTCCCTGGAGCTTGGCAGGAAGCCCCACAAGGCCTGCAAGCCCCTCCTGTCTCTGATAGGACATTCCCATGAGACCACCTCGGCCAGGATGATGAAGACACTGAATGGTCCTGAGAAAACCCCTCTGCAGTGCGCACTCCCAGACCCGGCCTTTCTGTGATGTCTGCCTACTCATTAAATCCTCATCCAGCCAGGGAAAAGCCTCTCGGCCTCATCTTAACATGACAAGGTTTGTGCATGGAACTTTAATTGATAGCAATAAAGCTGTCTGCCCCATATCCTGACACAGGGAGCTTCACAGACACTGGAAGCCTGATTTCTGAGAGGGAAAAGGGTCCTCATTTAAATTCTTATCTGCCGGAAATGCAAAAGAATGAGCTGATCTTCTAACCCTTAATGAATTGGAATTCACTTAGAGGGTGCCCTTTGTGCTTGGCTAATGCGTCCCTTTTAAAAGGTTATTTCTGCACTGGGCTGGCCTGTGATATTTGACCAGTAACTGCTGCAGATTTATTCATTCAGCAAATTTATTCTTGTAGTAGCTCTCGAAAATCAGCGTACACTATTACACAGCACAGGCCCCATTTGTGAAATTATTTATAGCCTTATTTAGAAATCTCAGCTTCCTTGAGACTGACAGTTTTATTGGCTGATTTCAGCTCAACTCCAAGGCAAGGAGAGCTCACCCCCTCCTCAGCCCAGCACCCCGGGTTCTTGCCCCTCCTTCCAGCTGCCAAGACTGCCCCGGAACGCCTCTGTAGGGCCTGGCTGCCCTCAGACTCAGACGGTTTACAGAGCAGGACCTGAATTATGACGTCAGCAGGAAATGCAATGACACAAAGGGAGGAGAGGTGTGGTTATTTGGGGGCTTTCAGGATGCTGGGAGGCATGGAGGGGTATTTTCTACCCATCTCTTTTCTTTCTCTCTCTTCCTCCCTTACCCCTTACCCTTCTCTCTCCTCCCTCTTTCTCCCTTCCTAGCCCTTCCCTTCATCTTTCACTGCTGTGCCTTTCAGTTGTCAAGGTGATTTTTTAAAAATAGAGCAAACTACTCTTTGAAGTGTGGTATTTGCTTTGGTGCTGAGTTATCAGGACTGATCATCTCCAGAGCTCAGCTCTGCTGGAAAACAGCCCCACCTCCCTTCACAGAAGTCCTGAAGTCCTGACCACACCAAGACTTCGAGTCAGCAGTGGGAATCCACTGGAATTTGGTCAGAACTTTGGGATTTTCATGGCCAGTCTTTGATGTTGACATGGGACCCATCCCTAATTAAACCTCTCTTCCAGCACACAGATGGTGGTGGGAAGCAGACCTCCCTTCCAAAAATCTGTCTATCCCGGAGTTGCACAGCAGGGCACCAAGGTTGACATTTGTTACAAATTTATTCATATTTACCAAATCTACTCTGCCACAAGAGGGTTTTATCTAGACAAGACTCCTAAATTGGCTTTGCAAAATTTAATCCTCTATTGATTGGGCTCATCTCCTGTAATCCATCTAGTCATTGAAGAGCGTTTGCTAAATTTCTATCTTAATAAAAACACCAACCACCACATTCATCTTCCTTTGTTAAATGGAAACAAGGCATAATCTAATTTTTAAAATACTGTAAGCAGATAATCAAAATTCAACAACTGTGTGCCCTGAACTCAACTAATTTCCACTTCAAATGCATCTAATCCACGTAGGCTCCGGCAATGAATGATGATGTTCTGGTGAGGAAGAGGCAATTTGCATGCCACATTTGCTCCACCAATTTACTAAATTAAGTGGCAAGATAATAAAGGAATGGCGTTTTGATGAAAACAGTCTAATTAAAAGTGAATCTGAGAACATAAAGTTTGAGTTCTATTACTGACTGCACACCTCAAAGAATGCAAACAACAACCTAGCAGCGTTTGAGGGCTGCATTCGTGCATCCTCGCAGGTGTGTGTCTGTGGGTCTTTCTTCCATGAATAGTACTGCTTGTCGTTAATAATTATCAGCCGTAATCGGTACTTACGTTGATTTAACTTGCCAGTAATAGCAGCCTTGTGGAGCTTCTATGGAACAACCTTGGAAGCTTTACATACACTTTAATCTGCATTTTAAAACCCTGCAAGATGGGCACTTTGTAGATCAAGGGTCTGCAGTCTAGAAAGGTTAACATAGGCGAGGACTGTAGTGGGGCAGGATCTGAACCCTGTCCCCAGTCATCCCATCGGACCACTCTGCCTGTCGCATATGCCAAGCAAAGCACCATGTCTCGAGAGAGTTGTATTTTCCTCCAGCAGGAAGTTCATTTGCCTGACATTGTTTATTCACCTGCTGGATTTGCTCCTGGGCTGACATCTTTACAGGGGAGGAATATAAATAATTTTATAAGAACAACAGTTCTGGGGGGAGGGAGAGGGGGCAGGGGCAATATTTGTAACCCTAACAATATTTTTACCTCCATAATCTGATGAAATAAATAAAAAAAAATAAAATGATTGTGCTACTCAGAAAAAAAAAAAAAAGAACAACAGTTCTGCATGTTGAGTATGACAGAGCTAGAATCCATCACCAGTTTTGGTGACCCAGTAAGCAGAGGGTTTAGACATTCTGATTAGGTTGGGAGAGGCCTAAACTGCTCCCAGACAACAAATATAGATCCAGCATGTAGGATAACCCCACTTTTAGCATGAAAGGGGCACAGCTGCTCTAGGATTAGCAAATGCACAGAGGAAGCTGCAATTCACTGCTGAGGATATGGACTGAAGGTGGTTGTTCTAGCAGGAAAGGTGATTGTGAACTGGCTGCGCTAGGCCTGACGTCGTGCGTGCTGCCTCAGGTGGGCGCGGGAAAGAGCCAGAGCCTGCACTTCTGCTCCAGTGTAGATGGCCGCTGGCTACTGTGCAGAGGACAGGAAGGAGGCCTCTCCTCTGAGTTCTCATCATCCTCCTCTGCCAGGAACCAGCCCTCCAAGGCGGAATCAGAGACAGTGTCGCCAGCAGCAGCAAGCTCAAGACCAGCCATGGTCACAAACCCTGAGCTAAGAGGAGTCACTTTATTTCCACTGACTTAAGTGATCACAAGTGGGGATTTGGTTCCAGGCCTAATGAAAGGGCCATAAAAGCCCCCCCCCCCCCAGCCTCAAGGCGGGAGCTCCAGGAAGACCTCAATGGAAGCACCTTGTGCTGGGAACTTCCGGAACAGCACCCCTCACCCTCTCTGACCCTCTCGCTTCTCTCAGCTGCTTGTTCACCTGCTCTCGCCGGGAGGGACCCCAGACATACCACCCAGAATGCAAGGCAAACAGACCAACATTGTCACTGGCTCTCTCTCTTTTAGGGGACAGAGGTGCTTTAGTCTGGCTGGACAAGGCTGCAGTTTGGACGGAGGGAAGAGAGGAGCAGCCACAGATGGCCAGGCAGGCGAGCAGGTAGCCGGGCCGCAGCTGCCCACACACCGTCCGGCTCTGGCCCTGCGCTCCTCAACTTAGCACATTTTTAAAATGGTGGGAGAGGAAGATAAAGGGAGTGTTTAAAACCAACAGAGATGATAACAGAAGATGGGAGAGGGTGGCCTTTCTGCTCTGTAACAAGCCCCACTGGGGTTGTTCTCTGCACCGTAGGCTCCTTCCACTGGAACACAGACCTGCACTAACCTGTGTTTCTCTCCACCAGGACCGAGAGAGCCAAGCGCTGTCAGCCACACTCTCAGCCCGCAGGTGGGTGGGAAGCCCCTGGTGCTCCTGGGGCCACTGAGCCCGCAGGCAGGCACAGCGGAGGATTTCTGTCTCCTTCCTGCCAACTGCCCTCCCCAGGTTTAGGATAAGGGGGAAATAAGAGTTTATATCAGGATGCCTTAGGGACGAATTCTTTCTCAATTCCAAGTAAGACACTTGGTCCTGCAAAACTGTGCTGCTGTCACTTCTATGGAGGGACAGCCAAGAACAAGGTGCTGGAGAGAACGCCAGGCCACCCCCACGTAGGCTGGGAAGGGGGCTCCTCCTCTGCAGACACAGTAGCCACTGTCCCCAGTGCCTGCCATTCCAGGCTGGACACAAGCAGTGGGCCTGGGCGCTGCTCTGGGAATGAAGGTCCATTCATTTCCCATCTTTAAACCCAGGGAGATGAGTGCTTTGATCTGTTCTGGACAGAAACTTTAAATAAGGATATTCTCAGGGAAGTTTTGAAGTACAGTTTCATTGCATATTTAATCCTCTTGGCTCACCTACAGGAGGCAAGAAATTCCACTTGAATTTGGTTCCAGAAGTTCATCCCTCTTTCTTCTCAAAGCCAACCTCTGCCTTTGAGCAGAGGGATGGCCTCGGGCCAGAGCTAATTGGGGCTTATCTTTTATACTTTGTCTTTAGATGGTAACACCCGAAGGGTCAGCACCCGGCAGCTGGCCAGGGAGGCCCCAGTTTCTGGCCAGAGCATGAGCCAAGAAACCATGTGGGCTTCACAAAGGCCTCAATGTCACCAGCTGCCCCCGAATGTGGGCACAAGACGACGGTTCACATCAGAGCCTGGTTATCGTCACCCTGACTTTGAACCAACACACCCCTCGAGAGCAAACCGCAGTTCTGGGGCGTCCTGTATGCCTCAGAAGATCCCAAAACAGCTGTGATTCAATCACTCTGACAAATGAGTATTCTGACAGCCACCCTGACTTTGAGAGCAGGCCTTCCACATCGGCTGGTGCTCAGGGGCATTCCTTCCTCGCACCCAGGCGTGTGCCGCAAGCTGGCCAAGAGCAAACGCCGGGGACGGGCTTGTGCGTCTGGGATGTACGCAGCCAGGCACGCCAGGAGGAGCAGCCGGATGGAAATGCTCCCAAACATCTGGGGCTGCGCTTCAGATTTCAAAGTGATTCTTCTGCTTGCACAACTTTACAATCTTGGCATTTGCCAAATGCTTATGTTTTGCTTAATCTGAAATTAGGCAAGGATTTCAACTCTCTCAATATCCCTAGAATGGTTTTTCTGCATACAGGGAGCTTTTCTGCATACTGAAATTCAGCCTGTAATTCATGGTTTAGTGAAACAGAAGGAGAGGGGAAAAAAAAAATCACAGTTAGCCTTTCCCTCCACTTTCTGATACCTGGCCTCTGCTCAGATGCAGTTCCTCCCTGCCTCTGCCGGTCAGGAAAGGCTTTTTTTTCAGAAAAGCTTTGGTCAGGAAAGGCGGCAGAGCTGCCCAAGCCCCCTCGGCTGTCCCGCCAGTGAGCTGCGTGACCGGACTCTCCCAGCCTGCCCAGGGCTAGGGCGGGACCTGCCCAGCTGCCTCGGGACAGTGCCACCTCCAGTCCCCTTGCTGATGTGAGAGGCCAGGCCTGGCACTCGGTTCCCAAGCAAGAAACACCACACTAGCAGAGTCTGTCCAAGCGGGAGGTCAGCTGGGGTCCTGCAAACCCCAAAACAGAGGATGAAGACTTCTGGCACATAAACCCCGCAGCTTTGCTCATAACTGCCAGCATGTGGAAGTGAGTGCGTGTCCTTCAGGGGTGGATGGACCCCCACGCTGTGGTCTACCCGGCAATGGAGCACCATTCAGTGATAAAAAGAAATGAATCATTAAGCCATGCAATGACATGGAGGGACATTAAACACTTAATAAGTGAAAGAAGTCAGCCTGCAAAGGCTACATACTGCATGAGTCCAACCGTGGGACACTCGGGAAAAGGCAAAACTATAGAGACAGTAAAAAGATCCGTCATTGCCAGGGTTGTTAAGGGAGGGATGAATAGGCTGATCGGAGAGTTTTTAGGGCCCTGAAACTACTCTGTATGAGACTGTAATGGGAGGTACGTGGCACCATACATTTGTTCAAACCTATGGAATGTGCAACACCAAGACTGAACCTTAATGTGAACTCTGGACTCTGAGCGATTATGATGTGTCAACGCAGGCTCGTCAAGTGTAATAACTGCCCACTCTGGGGGGCTGTTGATGTTGGAGAGGCTGTGCATGTGTGGGGGCAGGGGGGACATACGGGAAATCTCTGTACCTTCTGCTTAATCTTGCTATGAGCCCAAAACTGCTCTCAAAAAATAAAATCGACTTTTTTTTTTAAAAAAAGCAGAGGGACTACCTAAGAGGTGTGACAAGTACTCTTTGCATCACGGGCTATGTTGTCAAAGGCCACCATGTAGTAATGATCATGGTGACAGCACACCTGCAGTTCTGCTGTGATGGACAGGAGGCCAGGGTCAGGGACAGACACACACACTCCAGGGTCCTCTCCAGCAGTGGGAGGCACACAGAGTCAGCCTCCATCACCTGGTGACTTCCCTTCCCTCCATCACCTTCCCTGACACCCGCCCAGCCTCCCGGGCAGAGGCCTGCAGCATTACAGCCCAGCTCGAGGGTGAACCCTGAGAACCAGGGTGCTAGTGGGACCTCCCCAAGCCCTGGAGTCCAACAGAGGCGCCTCTGAATGCTTCCTACAACCCTCTCTCTTTTTGAAACTTCCTTTTCTTCTAGCTTAGAACTGCATGCTAGAAATGTATTTTTCTAACCACATCAAATCCATAAGTACTAGAAAATTTTGCAATTTAGGTGAAAAGACTCTGATACATTCCCATGAGATTTTACACGGTCACACTGAAAAACATTCACATCTCAAAATGCTCCACATTCTTGAGTAGGACACAGGGACAGAGACCCCTCTGGCCACAGGTGGTGGTCTGGGAGCTGGTGGCTCTGGTGCTTGGATTAAGTCCTAACTGGTGAAAACAAAGGGCTTCCAGGGCAGAAACACTATGCTCTGATCCTTCCACACCAAGGCAGCTGCTAGCTCACCTAGGCACCTCCTAAATGTCACAAGAGCCAGACACAACAAGATAAAAGAGCCCGAGAAGCATCTCAGGCAGGAAAGCCAGGGCTGAGATAGAGCCTGCATTCCTTACCTAGACATGGACGTCCTCATGTGTTACAGAGAGTTTCTGATGTCTGTTCGACAGGCACACACATCGTCCCTGTCCTTACACCAAAAACCAATGGTCGTTCTGCATGTTTACTTTCCATGCTGAGATACTCTTGCTGTTTCAGCATAAGCAAGTGCATCCTGCAGATATAAGCCAGTGTTTCCCTAAAACTACCCTGTGGAGAGAGGGGCAGAGGTGTGTTTCCCTTTGTTTTTAATCACTAATGGAGCTGCCAGACTTGAGGCACAAAGCGGTTTTTCTGGCTTGGTATTACTCATTCAGTGGCCCCAAGCTGGGGCTGCATTAAGCCCCTGGACGATTCCCACTGGACACTCTTGTCTCATTACGGAGAGACTGGTGGCCCTGTCCACACCAAAGGGCTCTCACCCGACAGAAAATCATCTACCGCTACCTTTGCCAATTATACTCAGTAAAGTAAAACCTGCCACCTTTTCCCCTTACTCTGGAGTGGTGCGGGCCAACAGAACCGAATGTGCTGATGGAAATGTGCTATGTTTGTGCTCTGTGACGGGGCAGCCCTTGCCAAGTATGGACAGTGGCTGCCTTGCGTGACAGCATAGCTGTCACCAGCAACTTTAGCTCTGCCTGCCCCCCCACCCCCCGCTGTGCTGGGTGCCTCTGATGTCACGGTGGTTGGAATCTCCTACTCGCTGACCGAGATGTGATGCCAGGGCAGTCGTGTTCCACATTAAGCAAAACCAAAATGGCAAAAGAATTTACAGGGTAAGAAATTGGCTGGTGGACATTACTCAACAAAGGTTTCGCTACGGAGCAAGTCTGCCCCGTGCAGGTAAAGGAGGACTAATTTGCAATTTACACCCAACCTGTAAAGACCATGGAGAGTGACAGACACATGCAAATTAGGATGAAGACACTATGAAGTGGCAGGAATAATAAAAACGTTATCGGTTAACAGTGTTATTCACACGGTGGAGAAATTCCTCCATCCTGCAAGGCGGTGAAGTCAAAGGTCATGCTGTCTTGGGCTGACCCACTTCCCCGGGGGGTCACCTTCCACCTGCCACCTCTGCTCGTGGCTGCACCAGAGCACGGTCACTGTCACTCCCACAAAATCCTAGGGTTTTCCCCTTTCACGTGTCCATCCTCTGGAATCCTGAGCCTTTGGGGTAAGTGACGATTTATCAGTTTAACCATTTCAAGAAAAAAAAATCGCTCCTAAAATGTACTTCGAGTCCCTGCTTCCTTAAACAGACTGCAGGAAGTACACGTGGCTGCATGTCTTTCCCAAGCACGTGGCTCTCGCCCCGTCTCTGGGCCCCTGGTACAGCACAGCGGCACTTCTGTCTCCTGTCCACAGTCAGGGGACTGCTCAGGCTGCTTTCCTCCACTGCAGAGCCCCTGGTCCACACTGGCCTAGGCCTCAGGACCCCTCCTTCCCCTATTACCTCTTCCTTCTCTCTCAGTGTCCAGTGTCCATGGCCCGGCACTCCTCTGGTCACCTTCCTCACTCTAGAGCCTTCAGCTGTCTCTCTTGGATCCTATAAAACTAAGTCCAAACACCTTGCCTTATGTACAGGTTCCAATGTGCTTCCCACATATCTTCCCCTGTATCACTCTTCAAACCCCTTTGCACACTCCCTCCTCTCCCCATGCACGAGGATGCCAAGACTGTCTGCTTGGCTCATGCTTCCACCTCTATGAGCAGCAGGTGACCCACCATCTCAACAAATAACCTAGAAGCACCTGTCAGGTCTCCAGACATATGCCACTACCCAGAAAAAGCCCTCCCTTCTTTGAGCCCAGAGAATCAGTCCCTCTCCCCATTCAACTCCCACTATATTTCCTTCCCACCTCCTGTGGACGTCACCCCTGAGAGCCAGGGAGCCCCACTGCTGGCCAGAGTCCTACATGTTCCACCCATAGCCTGGAGGCCTTGGCCAAGGACAGTGCCTCTTTGGGCCTCAGGGTCCTCTTCTGCCAAGGGTGGTAACAGTGGTCTCATCGCACAAGGCCATCTCAAGGACCAACTGGTATGGTGCCCACCCTGTGAGGAGAGCAGAGCCTGGCATACTGCAAGCACTCAAGTGTGAGCTACTGGGCGCTGGTCTCATACTCATGCCTCTTATGAGCACTTCTTAAAGTCCAACACCTCATTCACAGGTCTTGTCCTTGGCTACGCATCATGACAAACTGCATTAATAGCAAATACAGCAAGAAACACAGATGGCAGGCCCTGCCCTTTGAGATATGCATTGAGCAGGTGTGGAATAAGGCCCAGGCTTCGTCAAGAGGAGGAAGGAGCCCGATGTCAGGCCAGGGTTGAGGATGCTAAGAAGTTCCCTAACCCACTTCCAGGTCCCTCTGGGTCCTCCAAGCCCAGCTCATGTGCACAAATGGGGCTGCCAGACACCAGGCAAGCATCACCTACAGTGCCCGCCTCCAAAGGTGGTGGCTTGCATGGGCCTCCCTGTCTTCTGCCTCTTCTTAACGCTACAGATTTGCCCACCTGTGATAGAAAGGCTCTTTTCTCTGTCTACTTTAATGCAGATAAAAGTGCGATCCAGGAGCCACTGTGGAAGGCAGTCTGACAGTTCTTCAATAAGGTAGACTAGCAACTCCACTCCTAGGTACATACCCAAAGAACGGAACATAGGTGTTCAAACAAACCCTTGTGCACAAATGTGAAGTGCAGCTCTATTCGTAAGAGCAAAAAGGTAGACACTGCCCAGATGCCTATCAAATGGATAAATGAGATGTGTTATGTCCATACAGCCATAAAAGGGAACAAAATTCTGATACATGCTGTAACCTGGATGGATGAACCTTGAAAACATTAAGTGAAAGAAGCTTGATCCAAAGAGCCATACGTCATGTGACATGTCCGGAATAGACAAACTCGCTGAGACAGAAGGCCGACTGCGATGGCCAGGATGGGGGGAGATGAAAGTGCTCCGGAGCTAGATAGTGCTGATGGCTGCACAACACTGAATGGGATAAATGCCACTGAATTGCACCCTTTACAACAGTTAACCCGGTGAATATTATTAGGAAGAGGGGCAAACCAACTTTGGTTGGGGACCTTGTCCTCAAGAAAAGCAGCCTGAGCTCTGATGTACGTTTGTCCCTCAGGTCTCTCGTGTTGTGTTTATCAAACTGTAAGATTTTCATTAGACTTTGTAAGATTTTGAATTCTGAAATAACTGGACTTCCAGTTCTTGAATAGCTGACACATTTTCGAACTGACAATGATAAAAGAAACCATAAAAACACACATGCCAGGGTTCCCCTGGTCTGAGACTCATGGCTGTCCTGGCCGCCGTGATGCTGGGTCAGTTCAAGAGCAGACAGCGCCAGCAGCTGGGACTCGCCAGAGCTGACATGCGGCTGGTCACGGAAACACCAGCTCTGAAGGCTACGTGTGACTCCATTCTGGCCACTGGAAGGGCAGGAGGAAAATGTGGGTGGAGGAAAATGAACAAACTTCAACGCTGTAAATAAAAAATAATAATAAAGAACGGGACAAGCCACCATGTTAATGAAGTTTGCTGGCCGTGGGTGCCATATGATTCCCGAGTGTGACTTGTTCACCAAATGCAATTAGCACTGTTTTCAAAGTGAAGTCAGATAAGGAGAGACAAAACCACCAGGAGGGTCCATCAGTCTGAAAGGCGTTCCTGTGGACCTGCTCTCCGGGCAAGTGCTCAGCCACCTACGGTAGTGACATCTAGGATGCCGTGGAGGTGGCCTCACGCTTGCCTACAAAACTATCCCTTTCTCAGCTCCTGGTTGAGTGCTCCTGCTCCGCTCCTAGCAGAACATCTTCAGAATCATGCATGACAACGCAGATTTAAGAATTAAGTACACTCAACTACATAAAAGTCCAATTTTTGAAAGGTAACGATACATATTCAATTTCCTAATGCTCATCTCCCTGCAATGAAAACTAAATGTGAACATTACCTGATGAACAGTATGACAGGCACAAATATTTTTTTTTATTTCAAGCCACTATAAAAGAGAAATAAAGAACTTCTGTTGATTACATAGAGAATCAAGAAATACACATTAAAAGTCTCACATTCATAAACCAACACTGTACTGCAATGATCATGTGAACCCTCAGTCATGTTACCTGAGTCGGACAGACCACGTGGCAAGCAACAGGGCAAAGCCCCCCTGTGTGAGCCCGCCACCCAGTCATCCACGTGGGGGCGGGCGGTGCTGTGCACACGTGAGCCAAGCGTCAGCTCTCTTGTGACTTACTCAAAATACATGTCAACCTCAGCCACCTGGGGGATATATAATCAACCAGTCTAGCTAACAGCCCTGCTTTTCCAGTGTCTTCTGGGACCATCCCCTACTGGAGTCACCAAACAACAGGACATGTGATCCTGCCATTCCAGGTTGGCTTTGCTTTAAATAACAGGCTGTGGTACGGGGCCATTTGGAGTCCGCGACCGCACTGAAGTCACTCTTGGGACTTACAGTACAGTGGGTCACAGTCACAGCACATAGTGTTCTGCTTGGAGAACGCCATACAAAGTCAGAGGCAGGTCCAAGAGGCCCGGATAGAGGGGCCTGCCTGGACCCCTCCCTGGGGCACAGGTGACAGACGTGCCTGGCGTCCTGCTCTGCTGTCACTCCTGCAAGAGCGACACGAGATGGAAATGGGAGCCTTGAGGTGCCCAGGAGGACTCTCAGAGAACTCTGCCCTGCAGGGTTTGGAGGACAGGGCTGGGTGGACAGAGGGACAGAGAGGCCCTGCGTGCGTTTGTAGTCTGTCCTGCGGCTGCTCTGACCCTGCCCACCCCCACCTCTTCCTGGGGATGGACTTTTGCTGACTCAGTCTCTCTTCTGAAAGACAGTCTGCTCTGACCATCCCAGTGGATATTGCCCAGCCCGATATTTTTCTGTAAGTGTCATGCGGACCATCCAGTGTCTGCTTCCTGGTGCCGTTAGATGGAGCAGCCACAGCACGAGGCAGGACAAGAACAACATCCCAAACATACCCCACCGTGGCCGGTATGAGTCCACCTGAAGGCAGCAAACCATGCCGCCTACAGTCGCCCTTCCCTACGTAAGGCCTGGGGCTCCTGAGCCCAGCAAGTGTCGCGCTGGATGCACAGGGAAGGGCGGCTGGAGGAGCAGCCCAGAGGGCTGAGCTCAGAGCACCGGGCATGTTGTCAGAGGGCTCCGCGTGGACTGCTTTCTTCTCTGTCACATGCTCTGGTGTCAGTTAGAGCTACCCGGCAGCCCCAGCCTCTGAGACCACCTCCAGCAAGTTTCGTGGTGTCTGGCTCAGGGGCTGCAGAGAGCACTGCCTGGAGGGAGCTCCCTCCCGAGCTATGGCCGCATTTGGCATGTGAAGGAGTGTGACAGGCTCCC